CAATGCAATGAGGCTCTTTTTTTTTTTTTTTTTTTTTATATATTTATACATAATTTTTGAGAAAAATTTATAATTTTTTTTTATTAATTAATTAATTTATAGAATTAAAAATAGTAATTTTAAAATTTTAAGTACTAATCTATAAAGATAATTTTTTATTTTTTTTTAAAAAATAAGCAAAAAATTAATTTAGATAATTAATTTATGCATATATATATATATATATATTCCTCTATATAAAATTACATATTAATACAAATCTTATATTATAATAATAGGGAAATATAATTATATAAATTATATTATAATATATATTTTATTTATGTAATTACTTATTAATATATAAATTATTTATATAATGTATACTATATATTAGACATTAGATAACTATTAATAGATAAATACCTGAATAATCAAGATTAATCGTACTATTATGCTTAATTGGATGGTTGTGAAATTTTTTTTTGATTTGGATTAATATTCATCTATTAATTAATTAAATATTTATTAATATATATATGAATACCTAGATTAATATCTATCTATTAATCAATTAAATATTTATATATATATAGATGTATAACGAATATAGTATATAGACTAAATTTCAGATTTTGTAACGCTCAATATAAAAATAGAGACCTATTATTGTATAAATTATATATTATTAAAATATAAGAAATCAATTAGAAAAAAATAATAACATTAAAAAATATTTATAATTTTTAAAAAATTTTTTTTTAAAAAAAAAAAAAAAAAAAAATTTCGAGATTTTTTTTAAAAAAAAAATTTTTTAAAAATCTAAAAATTTAAATTTTGATTTATTTTAAAAAATTTTTTAAAAATCTAAAAATTTAATTTTGATTTATTTCATAAAATATAATTAAATTTTTATTTATAAATTATTTGTTTACTATATTTAATTATTTATTAAATTATTATATTTAAAAAATTTTTTATTTTTTTTTTAAAAAAAATCTATTAAAATATAATTATATTAGGGGATATAATTGGTTTTTTTTTATGTTAAAAATAACATTTATTTTGTATTATTAATATTTTATAAAATTATATAGGGGTATGTTTTATAAATGTTAATTATAAATAAATTTATTTATGTTTTTTAATTAAAAAAATTATAAATATGATAAATTAATTGATTCAAAATTTGCGTGAGTAATTACCAATTTTATATTATTTAATAATATTCATTATTAATAATTCTAATTTTTATGTTTTAATTTAAATTTTTAAATTTTAAATAATTTTTAAAATTTTTATAAATTAAGTTTAAAGTTTTATTTTGGCTTAAAAATTTATTATTAGTTTAATTTATATGTAAATTTTTGTATGAATTTTTATTTATTTTAATAATAAATAAAATAATTTATATTCGCAGTAATTAGTATTATTAATTAGAGAAATCTAGAAATAGTAATATTAAAGAGTATTGGCTAAATTTGTGCCAGCAGCCGCGGTTATACGAATAATGCAAATAAATTTTTTCAGTAAAAGTTAAATTGTTTAATTTAAAATAAAATATAATTTATTAGGTGAAATTTTTAAATTATAAATTGTTTTTTAAATAATTAATTGAAGCTTAAAAATTTTAATAATAAACTAGGATTAGATACCCTATTATTTAAAATGTAAAAGGAATTACTTAGGTAGTAGTAGTTATGTTCTTGAAACTTAAAAAATTTGGCGGTATTTTAGTCTATTCAGAGGAACCTGTTCTGTAATCGATAATCCACGATGGACCTTACTTAAATTTGTTTAGTTTATATACCGTCGTTATTAGAATATTTTATAAGAATGTTAATTTTCAAAATTTTATAAAAGAAAATATATCAGATCAAGGTGTAGCTTATATTTAAGTAGAAATGGGTTACAATAAATTTATTTAAACGAATATAAATTTGAAATGTTTATTGAAGGTGGATTTGATAGTAAAATTATAAAGATTAATAATTTGATTTTAGCTCTAAAATATGTACACATCGCCCGTCACTCTTATTACTAAGATAAGATAAGTCGTAACATAGTAGATGTACTGGAAAGTGTATCTAGAATGCAATTTAAAGCTTATTCAGTAAAGCATTTCATTTACATTGAAAAGATTTTTGTGCAAATCAATATAAATTGATTAGATTTTATTTATTAATTTTTATTGTTTTTTATCTATTTTATTAAAAATAATTATAAAGTGATTATGTTTTAGTATTTTATAAAGAAAAAATAAATTTAATTATAGTGAATTAGTATTGTGAAAGAAAATTGAAATAATTTGAAAAATTATTATTTTAAAAGAAAATTTAATTTATTGTACCTTGTGTATCAGGGTTTATCAAATAAAAATTAAATATTTAATTTTCTCGATTTTAAAAGAGTTAATATATTATGAAAGTTAATGTGGCAAAATTATTTTTAATAATATATTAGAAATGAAATGTTATTCGTTTTTAAAGGTATCTAGTTCTTTAAGAAATAAATTTAATTTAGAAATTTTATATTATTTAGTTAGTTAAATTAATTAAATAATTATTTAATTTTAATATTTTATGGGATAAGCTGTAAAATAAATTATTAAAAATATTTAAATAATATAATAAATATAAATTTAGAAATAGTTATTATTAGCAAAAGTGTTATAATTTATTTTATAAATGTTAATTATTTATTTAAATTTTAATTTTTTATTAAAGTATTCATTTTAATTTTAAAAATGAAGTAATAATGATAAAATTAGTATATATTTATGTATAAATAAGTTTATATGAAAAGTTTTTATAAAGAACTCGGCAAAATTAATGTTCGCCTGTTTAACAAAAACATGTCTTTTTGAATTATTTAAAAAGTCTAACCTGCCCACTGAATTATTTTAAATGGCCGCAGTATCCTAACTGTGCAAAGGTAGCATAATCATTAGTCTTTTAATTGAAGGCTGGTATGAATGGTTGGACGAGATATTAACTGTTTCATAAAAATTTATAATAGAATTTTATTTTTTAGTCAAAAAGCTAAAATAAATTTAAAAGACGAGAAGACCCTATAAATCTTTATATTTAGATAATTACAATTTTGTGGATTTTTTTTGTTGTGATTGTTGATAATATTTTATTGGGGTGATATTAAAATTTAAAAAACTTTTAATTAATTAAATCATTAATTTATGAATAATTGATCCGTTATTAACGATTAAAAATTTAAGTTACTTTAGGGATAACAGCGTAATTTTTTTGGAGAGTTCATATCGATAAAAAAGATTGCGACCTCGATGTTGGATTAAGAGATATATTTTGGTGTAGCCGCTAAAATGTTAAGTCTGTTCGACTTTTAAATTCTTACATGATCTGAGTTCAAACCGGTGTAAGCCAGGTTGGTTTCTATCTTTAAAAAATTAAAATATTTCAGTACGAAAGGACCTAATATTTGATAAATTATTATTTTTATAATTGAATATAATTAATTTACTATTTTGGCAGATTAGTGCAATAAATTTAGAATTTATATATGTAATTTATATTACAAATAGTACATGTTTTATTTAGAAAATTTATTATTTATTATTGGTAGTTTATTATTAGTAATTTGTGTTTTAGTAAGAGTTGCATTTTTGACAATATTTGAACGAAAGGTATTAGGTTATATTCAAATTCGTAAGGGGCCTAATAAGGTAGGAATTATAGGAATTCCTCAACCTTTTTGTGATGCAATTAAATTATTTACTAAGGAACAAACTTATCCTTTATTATCAAATTATATTTCTTATTATTTTTCTCCTATTTTTTCACTATTTTTATCTTTATTGGTATGAATATGTATACCTTTATTTATTAAATTATTTTCTTTTAATTTAGGTTTATTATTTTTTTTATGTTGTACAAGTTTAGGAGTGTATACTGTAATAATTGCTGGTTGATCTTCAAATTCTAATTATGCTTTATTAGGAGGTTTACGAGCTGTTGCTCAAACTATTTCTTATGAAGTAAGATTAGCTTTAGTATTATTAAGTTTTATTTTTTTAATTGGGGGTTATAATATATTAATATTTTATAAGTATCAATTATTTATTTGATTTTTATTTTTAATGTTTCCAATAGCATTAGTTTGATTTAGAATTTCATTAGCTGAAACAAATCGAACACCTTTTGATTTTGCTGAAGGTGAATCTGAATTAGTTTCTGGATTTAATATTGAATATAGAAGAGGAGGATTTGCATTAATTTTTTTGGCTGAATATGCAAGTATTTTATTCATAAGAATATTATTTTGTGTAATATTTTTAGGATGTGATGTGTTTTCTTTTTCTTTTTATTTAAAGTTAACATTTGTTTCTTTTATATTTATTTGAGTTCGTGGCACTTTACCTCGATTCCGTTATGATAAATTAATATATTTAGCTTGAAAGAGATTTTTACCTTTCTCGTTAAATTTTTTATTATTTTTTGTAGGATTTAAGATTTTTTTATTATATTTATTATAGTGAATTTTATTTAGTAAAAGTTAATAGAAAATTAGATTTCTATCTTATGTTTTCAAAACATATGCTTATTTCAAGCTCATTAACTAATTTAATAAATTATCTCATCACTTTGTTATTAAAGGATTAAATAAAAAATAAGAGAAATAAACTACTGTTAAAATTTGACCAACTAAAACGTAAGGAGCTTCAACTGGTCGAGCACCAATTCATGTTAATAAAATAACTGTAACTACTATTGTTCAGAATATAATTTTATTAATTGGATAAAATTGGATTCCTCGGAACTTTCTTAAGTGATAGAAAGGTAAAATTGCTAAAATTGCAATTGATAAAACTAATGCAATTACTCCTCCTAACTTATTTGGAATAGATCGAAGAATAGCATAAGCGAATAAAAAGTATCATTCAGGTTGAATATGAACAGGTGTAACTAAAGGATTAGCGGGGATAAAATTATCAGGGTCTCCTAATAAGTATGGATTAATTAATACTAATAAAATTAAAATTATTGTTATAATAATAAATCCAACGATATCCTTATAAGTGAAATAAGGATGGAAAGGAATTTTATCAATATTAGAATTTAATCCAATAGGATTATTTGAACCGGTTTCATGTAAAAATAATAAATGGATTATTGTTATTGCTAATACAATAAAAGGTAAAATAAAGTGGAAAGTGAAAAATCGAGTTAAAGTCGCATTGTCTACAGCAAATCCTCCTCAAACTCATTGTACTAAGTCAATTCCTAAATAAGGAATAGCTGATAATAAATTAGTAATAACTGTTGCTCCTCAGAAAGATATTTGTCCTCAAGGAAGAACGTATCCTATAAAAGCTGTTCCTATAACTAGAAATAAAATAATTACTCCTACTAGTCAAGTTGGTGTATATAAATATGATCCATAATATATTCCTCGTCCTACATGTAGATAAATGCAAATAAAGAAAAATGATGCACCATTAGCATGTAAAGTTCGTAATAATCAACCATAATTAACGTCTCGACAAATATGATTTACTCTATTAAATGCTAAATTAATATCTGCTGTATAATGTATAGCAAGAAATAATCCAGTTAAAATTTGAATAATTAAACATAAACCTAGTAATGATCCGAAATTTCATCATGATGAAATATTACTTGGAGCAGGTAGGTCTACTAATGCATTATTTGCAATACTTAAAATTGGATGTTTAAGTCGTAAAGGTTTGTTCATTAGTTAATTAAATATAGGTCGTAAAGGTCCCTTAAATAAATTAGTAATTTTTACTACTGCAATTAATGTAATTAATAAATAATTTATTAATAAAATTGTTAACAAATTAGTTGGATAATTATATAGTTTGTTTAAAGAAAGAGAATTTTCTATTATATATGAATTTAAATTAGAAATTGATTGAATTTCTATATTAGAATAATTTAATAGAATTCTTTTGTCAATAAAATATAATGAAATAATTATAATAAAAAAAATAGAAATTGATGAAATTAAAATTTTTGAAGAAAATGTAAATATTTCATTTGAAGCTAAAGAAGTTACATAAATGAATAGAACTAGTATTCCTCCTAAAAATACTAAAAATAAAATATAAGAAAATCAAAATGTTTTAGTTATTAATCCTGAAATTATTGAAACTAAAATAGTTTGAATAAGTAAGGTTAATCCTATAGCTAATGGATGTTTAATATTTATAATAATAAAATTAAAAATAAATAGAAGAGTTATTAAAATTCATTGTATAATATCAAGAAATAGTTTAATTAAAATATTAATTTTGGGGATTAATGATAAAGAAATTTCTTTTTTCTTGAAGTTTTAAAAGAGTAACTCTTATTTTTGGTTTACAAGACCAATGTTTTTATTAAACTATTAAAACTAATGTTAATAATTTTAAATTGATGTTTACCTAGAATTTTATTTATTATAGGAGTATTTACTTTTGTTTCTAATCGAAAGCATTTATTATCTATATTATTAAGATTAGAATATATTGTTTTAAGATTATTTCTTTTATTATTTGTATATTTAAATATATATAATTATGAAAATTTTTTTAGAATAATATTTTTAACTTTTAGAGTATGTGAAGGTGCTTTAGGTCTTTCAATTTTAGTTTCAATAATTCGTACACATGGAAATGATTATTTTCAAAGATTTAATGTATTATAATGTTAAAAATTATTTTTATAGTTTTATTTTTATTTCCTTTATGTTTTATTAAAAATTCATATTGAATGGTTCAAAGTTTTTTATTTTTTATTTCTTTTATTTTTATTTTAATAAATATATATTCAAATTATTTTATATCAATTTCTTATATATTCGGTTCAGATATAATTTCTTATGGATTAATTTTATTAAGATTGTGAATTGTTTCTTTAATGTTAATAGCAAGAGAATCAGTGTTTAAATATAATAATTATGTTAATTTATTTTTATTTAATATTATTTTATTGTTATTAATATTAGTATTAACTTTTAGAAGTATAAGTTTATTTATATTTTATTTATTTTTTGAAAGAAGTTTAATTCCTACTTTATTTTTAATTTTAGGTTGGGGTTATCAACCTGAACGTTTACAAGCGGGAGTATATTTATTATTTTATACATTGTTAGTTTCTTTACCAATATTAATTGGTATTTTTTATTTATATAAGGTAACAAATACTATAAATTTTTATTTATTAAATAATTATATATTTAATTATGAAATTTTATATTTTTCTTTAGTTATAGCATTTTTAGTAAAAATACCAATATTTTTAGTTCATTTGTGATTACCAAAGGCTCATGTAGAAGCTCCAGTTTCTGGGTCAATAATTTTAGCTGGAATTATATTAAAGTTAGGAGGTTATGGTTTATTACGAGTATTTCCTTTTTTACAATTATTAGGTCTAAAATTTAATTTTATTTGAATTAGAATTAGATTAGTTGGAGGAGTATTAGTTAGTTTAACATGTTTATGTCAAACTGATTTAAAGGCTTTAATTGCTTATTCTTCAGTTGCTCATATAGGAATTGTTTTAGCTGGGTTAATAACTATAACATATATAGGAATATGTGGTTCTTATACTTTAATAATTGCTCATGGATTATGTTCTTCTGGATTATTTTGTTTAGCAAATATTTCTTATGAACGATTAGGAAGACGAAGTTTATTAATTAATAAGGGTTTATTAAATTTTATACCTTCAATGGCTTTATGATGATTTTTATTAAGTTCTGCTAATATAGCAGCTCCTCCTACTTTAAATTTATTAGGAGAAATTTCTTTGATTAATAGAATTGTTAGTTGATCTTGATTAACAATATTAATGTTATCTTTATTGTCTTTCTTTAGAGCTGCTTATACATTATATTTATATGCTTATAGACAACATGGAAAGTTATTTTCTGGAGTTTATTCTTTTAGAGGAGGAAAGATTCGAGAATATTTATTATTATTTTTACATTGATTTCCTTTAAATTTATTAATTTTAAAGGGGGATATATGTATGTTATGATTATAATTATTTAAATAGTTTAATAAAAATATTGATTTGTGGTGTCAATGATAAGATAGAAATCTTTTTAAATCGTGAAATATTTATCAATTTGTTCAATTAGATTCATTAGTTTATTTTTTTTTAGACTTTTGTCATTTACTATAGGATTAATTTTTATTATAAATGATTTTACAATTTTTATTGAATGAGAAGTTGTTTCTATAAATTCTTTAATAATTGTAATAACAATTTTATTAGATTGAATAAGATTAATTTTTATGTCTTTTGTATTAATAATTTCTTCTTTAGTTATTTATTATAGAAAGGAATATATAGAAAGAGATTATAAGATTAATCGATTTATTATATTAGTATTAATATTTGTAACTTCAATAATATTATTAATTATTAGTCCAAATTTAATTAGAATTTTATTAGGTTGAGATGGATTAGGGTTAGTTTCTTATTGTTTAGTAATTTATTTTCAAAATATTAAGTCATATAATGCTGGTATATTAACTGCTTTATCAAATCGAATTGGAGATGTAGCTTTATTATTAGCAATTGCTTGAATATTAAATTATGGTAGTTGAAATTATATTTTTTATTTAGATGTAATGCAATCTGATAGAGAAATGTTAATTGTTGGAATATTAGTAATATTAGCTGCAATAACAAAAAGTGCACAGATTCCATTTTCTTCTTGATTACCAGCTGCAATAGCAGCTCCTACTCCAGTATCGGCTTTAGTTCATTCTTCAACTTTAGTAACAGCTGGAGTTTATTTATTAATTCGATTTAATATTGTATTAAGAACAAGTTGAATGGGTAATTTATTACTATTATTATCAGGTTTAACAATATTTATAGCTGGATTAGGTGCTAATTATGAATTTGATTTAAAGAAGATTATTGCTTTATCTACTTTAAGACAATTAGGTTTAATAATAAGAATTTTATCTATAGGTTATTATAAATTAGCTTTTTTTCATTTATTAACTCATGCATTATTTAAGGCTTTATTATTTATATGTGCAGGAGCAATTATTCATAATATGAACAATAATCAAGATATTCGTTTAATGGGAAGTTTAAGATTAATAATACCATTAACTTCTTCTTGTTTTAATGTTGCAAATTTAGCATTATGTGGAATACCATTTTTAGCAGGATTTTATTCAAAGGATTTAATTTTGGAAATAGTATCATTTTCTTATATTAATTTATTTTCTTTCTTTCTATATTTTTTTTCAACAGGGTTAACAGTATGTTATTCTTTTCGATTAGTTTATTATTCAATAACTGGAGATTCTAATTTTTCTTCTTTAAATATACTTAATGATGAAGGTTGAGTAATATTAAAGAGTATAATAGGTTTATTAATTTTAAGAATTGTAGGAGGAAGTATATTAAGTTGATTAATTTTTCCTACTCCGGAAGTTATTATCTTACCTTTAAATTTAAAGTTATTGACTTTATTTGTATGTATTATTGGTGGTTTAATAGGTTATTTAATTTCTAATGTATCTTTATTTTTTATAAATAAGGCTTTAAGAAATTATAATTTTTCTTATTTTTTAGGCTCAATATGATTTATACCTTATATTTCTACTTATGGAATTATTAATTATCCTTTAATTTTAGGTAAAATAAGAATTAAATCATTTGACCAAGGTTGATCTGAATATTTTGGGGGCCAACAACTTTATTATAATTTAGTTAAAAATTCTCAGTTAAATCAAATATTACAAAATAATAATTTAAAAATTTATTTATTAAGTTTTATTTTTTGAATTGTAATTTTATACATATATATAATTTGTTTTTATTCAAATAGCTTATATTTAGAGTATAACACTGAAGATGTTAGGGAGATTAATTAATCTTTGAATATACTGAATTATTTTTAGTAATTTATAAAATAAAATTATTTAATTTTACAATGAAAATGTAATGTTTTTATTAAACTATATAAATAGAAGTATAAATGGAATTTAACCATTAAAAGAAAAAAGTTAGCAGCTTTTACTTGAACATCATACTTCCTTAATTGGAGTTTAGAACTCAATTCTATCATTAACAGTGATAAGCCGCTTTTTGGCTTCAATTAATTATTTAAAGAATAAGGGTAAATTTACCTAAGATTAGGTCGAAACTAATTGCAATATATCGCTTCATATTCAAGGTAGATTGAAAATTCAATACTTTTTGAATGCAAATCAAATGTTATAATTAACTACAACCCTGTTTAGTTTGATCAATTTAATATTCCTTGATTTCATTCATGATAAAGTCCTAATAATAGAATTAAAATAAAAATAATAGACGTAATTGTTCAGCATATAATATTTGAAAATTTAATAATTAAAATAATTGGTAAAATTAATGCAATTTCTACGTCAAAAATTAAAAAAATAATAGTAATTAAAAAAAATCGAAGTGAAAAAGGTAAACGAGATGATGATTTTGGGTCAAATCCACATTCGAATGGTGAAGCTTTTTCACGATCTACAATTGTTTTTTTAGATAAAATTGAAGCTAAAAGTATAATTACTATAGAAATTAATAGAAGGATTGAACTAATTGTTAAAATTGAAAAAATTATCTATACTATTAATAATAGACCATATGATTGGAAGTCAAATATACTTTTTATACTATATAGATAATAAATTATCCTCCTCATCAGTAAATAGATACATAAAGGAATAATCAAACAATATCAACAAAATGTCAATATCAAGCAGCAGCTTCAAATCCAAAGTGGTGATTTTTTGAAAAGTGGTTATTTAAATGTCGACCTAAACAAACAATTAAAAAAGTTGTTCCAATTAATACATGAAGACCATGAAATCCTGTTGCTATAAAGAAAGTAGAACCGTAAACTGAATCTGCAATTGTGAATGGAGCTTCAATATATTCATAAGCTTGAAGAATTGTAAAGTAAATTCCTAATAATACTGTAAAAAATAATCCTTGTGTAGTTTGTGAATGATTACCTTCCATTAAACTATGATGAGCTCAAGTTACAGTAATTCCAGAAGTTAGTAAAATTACAGTATTTAATAAAGGAATTTGGAATGGATTGAAAGGAGTAATTCCTAAAGGTGGTCATATTGCTCCTAATTCAATTGAAGGGGATAAGCTACTATGGAAAAATGCTCAAAAAAATGAAACGAAAAATAAAACTTCTGAAAGAATAAATAAAATTATTCCTCATCGTAAACCTGTAGTAACAGAAAGTGTATGAAGACCTTGATATGTTCCTTCTCGAGAAACATCTCGTCATCATTGGTACACAGTTAAAATTGTAATAACATTTCCTAATAAGAATAATGAATTATCATATTGATGAAATCATTTTACTATTCCTGCAACTGTTGTTATAGCTCCAATTGATGCTGTTAATGGTCATGGACTATAGTCTACTAAATGAAATGGGTGATTTGAATGTGTTGACATTAATTAACTTCTCTAGAATATAATGTTCTTAGAACAGCAAATACGTATGATTGAATTATTGCAACTGCTGATTCTAAAACTAATAGTGCAATTTGTGTAATAATTAAAAAACTAATTAATATTATAGATAAAGAAGGTCCTGTATTTCCTAAAAGAGTAAGAAGTAGATGTCCAGCAATTATATTAGCTGTTAATCGAACAGCTAAAGTTCCTGGTCGAATTACATTACTAATAGTTTCAATGCATACTATAAAGGGTATTAAAATAGCTGGAGTTCCTTGAGGAACTAAATGAGCAAATATATGTTGAGTATTATTAATTCATCCATATAATATAAAACATAATCATAAAGGAAGAGCTAAAGTTAGAGTTAAAGTTAAATGACTTGTTCTTGTAAAAATATATGGAAATAATCCTATAAAATTATTAAATAAAATTATAGAAAATAATGAAACGAAAATAAATGTAGAACCGTTTGCTCCTATAGGACCAAGTAAAGTTTTAAATTCCTTATGAAGTGTTAATAAAATATTATTTCAAAAAATGTGGTATCGAGATGGTATAAGTCAGTATATTGATGGAATCATTAAAATTCCTAAAAAAGTTCTTAATCAATTTAATGAAAGATTAAAAATACTTGATGAAGGGTCAAAAACAGAGAATAAATTTGTTATCATTTTCAATTTAATGACTTTGTTGAATGAGTTTTATTACTTAAATTTGATTTAGGTATTGAAGGAATATATGAATAGTAATTTATTACATTAAAAATTACAAATGTAATTGAAAAAATAATAAATAAGCTTAATCAACCAATTGGTGCTATTTGAGGGATTAAAAAATATTAATAAATTAATAATTTTAGTTTGACAAACTAATGTTATATTTTTAACTAATTTTTTCATTAGAAGTAAGTGCTAATTTACTATAAAATGGTTTAAGAGACCAGTACTTGCTTTCAGTCATCTAATGAAGAATTATTTTTAGAAATTCACTTAATAAAATAATTTACAGGAATACTTTCAATTACAATTGGTATAAAACTATGATTAGCTCCACAAATTTCTGAGCATTGTCCATAGAATAAACCTGGTCGATTAATTAAGAAATTAGTTTGATTTAGACGACCAGGAGTACCATCAACCTTTACACCTAAAGCAGGAACAGTTCATGAATGAATTACATCAGCAGCGGTTACTAAAATTCGAATTTGAGAATTTATTGGCAAAACTACTCGATTATCTACATCTAATAAACGAAATCCGTCTACTGGTAATTCATTTGTAGGAATTATATAAGAATCAAATTCAACATTATTAAAATCTGAGTATTCATAACTTCAATATCATTGATGACCAATAGCCTTTAAAGTTACTGATGGTTCATTAATTTCATCTAATAAGTATAATAATCGTAAAGAAGGGAAAGCAATGAATAATAAAATAATTGCAGGTAAAATAGTTCAAATAATTTCAATTGTTTGTCCATGTAATAAATAACGATTAACATATTTATTAAAAAATAATGTAAACATTAAATATCCGACTAATACTGTAATTATTACTAAAATTATTAATGCATGATCATGAAAAAAAATTAATTGTTCTATTAATGGAGAAGAACTATCTTGTAAACCTAAATTTGCTCATGTTGACATTAGTTTCTAATAAAAGTAAAATACTTTATATATGGAGCTTAAATCCATTGCACTAATCTGCCATATTAGAAATTAGTTAGTAAAGGCAATTCATTATATCTGTGTTCAGCAGGTGGAGTATTTTGTAACCATTCAATTGATGAATTTAATTGAATTGGGAAAATTACTTGTCGTTGAGATACTAAACTTTCTCAGATAATATAGAATAAATATAAAATTCCTAATAATGAAATTGTTGAACCGATTGTTGAAATTACATTTCATGCTGTATAAGCATCAGGATAATCAGAATATCGTCGAGGTATTCCGGCTAATCCTAAGAAATGTTGAGGAAAGAATGTTAAATTTACTCCAATAAATATAATAACAAATTGACTTTTTAAAAGTTTATTATTTAGAGTTAATCCAGTAAATAGAGGGTATCAATGTACAAATCCTGCTATAATAGCAAATACAGCTCCTATAGAAAGTACATAGTGGAAATGAGCAACTACATAATATGTATCATGTAAAATAATATCAACAGATGAGTTAGCTAGTACTACTCCTGTTAAACCTCCTACAGTAAATAAGAATACGAATCCTAAAGCTCATAAAATAGCTGGAGAATAAGTTAGTTGAGTTCCGTATAATGTAGCTAATCAACTAAAAATCTTAATTCCAGTAGGTACAGCAATAATTATTGTAGCTGAAGTGAAGTAAGCTCGAGTATCAACGTCTATTCCAACAGTAAATATGTGATGAGCTCATACAATAAATCCTAAAAGTCCAATTGCTAACATAGCATAAATTATTCCTAAGGAACCGAATGTTTCCTTCTTTCCTGATTCTTGACTAATAATATGAGAAATTATTCCAAATCCAGGTAAAATTAAAATATAAACTTCTGGATGTCCAAAGAATCAGAATAAGTGTTGATAAAGAATTGGATCACCTCCTCCAGCTGGATCAAAGAATGAAGTATTTAAATTTCGATCAGTTAATAGTATAGTGATAGCTCCAGCAAGAACAGGAAGAGATAATAATAATAATAATGCAGTAATTACAACTGATCAAACAAATAAAGGCATTCGATCGAATGTAATTCCTGTTGATCGTATGTTAATAACAGTTGTAATAAAATTTACTGCTCCTAAAATTGAAGAAATTCCTGCTAAGTGAAGAGAGAAAATAGCTAAATCAACTGAAGCTCCACCATGAGCAATAATTGATGATAAAGGTGGATAAACAGTTCAACCTGTTCCAGCTCCCTTTTCTACTATACTTCTTACTAATAATAGAGTTAATGCAGGAGGTAATAATCAAAAACTTATATTATTCATTCGAGGGAATGCTATATCTGGAGCTCCTAATATTAAAGGAACTAATCAATTTCCAAACCCTCCAATTATAATAGGTATTACTATAAAGAAAATTATAATAAAAGCATGAGCTGTTACAATAACATTATAAATTTGATCGTCTCCAATTAGAGCACCAGGGTGTCCTAATTCAGCTCGAATTAAAATTCTTAATGATGTTCCTACTATACCAGATCATGCTCCGAAGATAAAATATAAAGTACCAATATCTTTATGATTAGTAGAAAATAACCATTGTTGCGATTAAATGGCTGAAGTTTAGGCAATAGATTGTAAATTTATTTATGAGAATTTTTCTCTTTAATCAATTAGCTTTATAGTCAATAATGACATTAGACTGCAATTCTAAAGGAGTAATAAATTTACTAAGGCTTAAAAGATTATTCTTATATTGATAGCTTTGAAGGCTATTAGTTTATTTAACTTAAAGCCTTAAAAAAAGAAATATAAGGAAGAAGTTAAAAATAACCCAAAAGTTGAAATATAAGAAAAAGTTAATAAAAGCTTTATATTTGAAGACTTATAATATGAAAATGTTATTCAACTATTTTCATAATAGTTTAGTATAAAAGCACTATAACATAATCGAATATAAAAATATAAAGTAATTAATGTTATTATTACTATAAAAGTTAATAAAAATAATTGATTATTTATAGTTAAAGATTGAATTACAAATATTTTTGGTAAGAATCCTAAAAATGGGGGTAATCCTCCTAATGAAAGAAGATTAAAAAATAAGAAAAATTTAATTCTTTTTTCATGGAAAAATAAAGAAAATAATTGATTAATATAAGAAATTTTAAACATATTAAATATTAACACTATTGAAAATGTTAAAAATGTATAAAATAAAAAATATATTAGTCAAATATTTCTATTATATATTGCAGCTAATATTCATCCTAAATGGTTAATTGAAGAATAAGCTATTAATTTACGTAAAGAAGTTTGATTTAAACCTCCTAATGCACCAATAAAACTTGATAAAATAATTCTGATAATAATTAATGGCTTAAAAATTACATAAGAAATTAATATTAACGGAGCAATTTTTTGTCAAGTTATTAAAATTAATGCATTAATTCATGATAATCCTTCTATTACATTAGGGAATCAAAAATGGAAAGGAGCAGAACCTCTCTTTAATAATAAAGAAGAAAGAATAATTATTTCTATTAAATTTGCATTATTTTTACCAGTATTAAGTAAAAATAAAATTACTGCAAATAAAAATACAGAAGAAGCTAGTGCTTGAGTTAAAAAGTACTTTAAAGATGCTTCTGTAGATATTAATTTATTATCTCTTATTAGGGGGATAAAAGCTAACAAATTAATTTCTAAACCTATTCAGGCTCCTATTCAAGAGTTTGCTGAAATTGCAATTAAAGATCCTATTATTAAAATAGTTAAAAATATAATTTTTGATGAATTATTAAAAATTAAAAAGAAAAGGATTAGAACCTTTATAAATGGGGTATGAGCCCAGTAGCTTAATTAGCTTATCTTTTTATAATAAATATATTTTGGTGTACGATGCACAAAAGTTTTTGATACTTTTAGAAATAGTTTAATTCTATTAAATATAATGAATGTAATATTAATTACATAATTTACCCTATCAAGGTAACCCTTTTATCAGGCAATTCATT